GACTATCCAATGCGAAATTAAACGCGTTTTTCTCATAACTATGTTATTTAAACTGGTGACAACTGTAACTCAAAAACCGTTTCCCAAAAATCTAGATTTTCTTTTTCTGATGCCGCCATTTTGTTAATTTTTGCAAAAAAAAGAAAAGCTTCGATTAGGCACGGGATTATCTATTTATAAAACTATTTTTTTTATTCGATTGATTTTAGATGAATCTAAGGAGTTATGCCCATCACCGCCAGGACCGTTTTTAGAAACTGGGTCAACAAAAACAGCCATAACTTTGGAAATAATTTTTTTTCCTGAAATTTTTGTTACTTAAAGTCAAAACATTGTATAATATTGCCGTGTCACTATTTTTGTAAAAAAACATTGTTTAATAACAAAAAAATACTGAAAATACTCATTTTTCGCGCCCCTAAGTACCCCTAACCCCTCAAAAAATACACCCTCAAATTGTGAGAGCAAGTTATGAATTTTTTTTTGACATTTTCACAAATTGAAGGTATGATGACGCAATCGCGGAATGACTGCCAGAATGGTACTTTCTTAATGGGTCGATAATAAAATATCATTAAAAAAATTTCTTGCTCTGAGAAAACAGGTTAGTCAAATAGTTCATAGCCTTTGGACTATTACGTTTCAGAGGTTTCTGAACAATTTGACATAAATTAGAAAAAATGGATGTATGTGTATATATGTGTAAGCGCGTGTGTGTGTGTGCGGATACAAATTTTCATCGACGATTTCGGGAACACGGTTCAACCGATTTCAATTCTGATTAGTTTTTGTCTTAGGCAGGTCTAGCCGTTTCAAAGATACGGGCAAAAAGTGCCACAAACGGTCATTCAGTTTTTAAGAGAACGGAGCGTCTGATTTCAATAATTCAAAAAAACATTTTACTTGTATTGATAAGATAAAGTACTGATGACATTTTGATGATTTATTAACTTCCCGTAGGGTAAGTTATTGTAATGGGCCGAAAATCGGAATTGAAAATTTTTACATTTCTCGACGTTTTGAAGGTTTCTGAACGTTTGGCATACCTCAGAAAAAATGGATGTGTGTGTGTGTGTGTGTGTGTGTGTGTGTGTGTATGTATGTAGGATACAAATTTTCGTCCACGTTTTCGGGCGTACGGATCAACCGATTTGAATGGTTTAAAAAACATTCGATTCCTATTAATAAGGAGAAGAGCTGATTAGTTTTTGGCAAAGACAGGTCCAGCAGTTACGGAGATAAGGAGCAAAGAGTGCAGAAAATAGAAAACGAGTTTTGAGAGAACGGAGCATCCGATTTGAATGATCTAAAAAACATTCCATTAGTAATGATTGGGAGAAAGGGTTATTAGTTTTTCGCAAAGGCAGGCCCAGCCATTTCGGAGATACAGAGCTAAATGTACAAAAATGGCAGTTTTTGAGAGAACTAAGCGTCCGATTCAATTGATTCAAAGAACTTTCTGCTTGTCTTAACAAAATAATTGATTTTGGAAAAAAAAAATTTGTACCTTTTTTTTTTTTTTTTAATTTTTTGTATGTCGAAAATAATTCAGATTTTATTTTTAATTCTGACTATAGTTCTAATATACTTTAAACAAATAATTTCAACTCTGCAATTCAGTTTATATAATTCTTATAAATATTAGACAATAATACAATATTTATAATAATCTATTTGAAAACATTCAATATTCCTCGAACGTTTCGTTACGGTACGGGAAGTTCCAGCAATTTGCCTTAAGGCACGATGCACCCACCCACTAGTTATTTTGATAGTTTATCCGTTAGACGGCGACGCGGAACTTACGCGCTTCGATATTTCGTCTCTATGCAGTTAAAGCAGTATGAGTGCTTTAAAAAAAACTTCAGAATTTTCAAGTTATTTCAAAATAAAGAAAACATTTCATTTTCAAAGTCTTTTTTTTTTCCTAAAAAAGTAAATTTTTGTCAAAAATTGATAGTTGCTCAAAAATCAAATTTTTTCAAGGTATTTTTTTTTTCAAAAAGGTTTATCTTTAAAAAAAAATGAAAATAGTTTAGATTTTAGTTGACATAATTTTGCTCATTACGTGATTTTCATTAGAATGTATATTTTTGGAGATATTTGCAAAAACGAAGAAAAACGCCGAAAATATATTTTATTTATTTATTTAAATATATAGCCCACAGATTTCTCCAAGAGGACTCAAAAATACAATTATTTTACAAAATGAATAACAATTAAAATATATAGTTAATAACATAAAATGCTAAGATAAAATTGCATATATGCAGAATGTAACAATAATATTTATAAACAGAATAAGAAAATAATGAGATATTTGAAAGAAAATAAAATGATTAACTTGTGCAGATGGAGATTATTTGATTAGGTGAAGTGTTGTGAATGTCTATTTCATTATTAATTAAGTTAAAGTTAGATGACATAAGTAAAATTGGCGAATTCAAGAGAGAATTAGATTTAGGGGTAGGATAATTGAAAAATAATTGTGAACGCGAAGATAGCCTTGGAACATTAAAGGATAGTTGATTGAGAATAAGAGGACAGTCTATAGAATTATTGCAAAGCTTAAATAAGAACATAATTGTACAGATAAATCGACGTGAGGCAAGGGAAGGAATACCAAATTCTTTTAGTAAAGTGTGGTGGTCAAAGCCACGTTCAGGGTAAATTTTATATGTTTTATAATAAAGGTATTTTAGAAATTTTCGCTGAACCTTCTCTATCGCATCAGAGTTGTTGATATGATGAGGATACCAAATAATCGAACCGTATTCTAATTTTGAACGTACAATAGAATAGTACATGCAAAGAAGTGCATTGGTAGACTTAAATTGTTTACAATTTCTTAGTATCAAACCTAAAGATTGATGTGCTCTATTACAAATATCAGTTACATGATCTGTGAAAAACAAACCAGAATCAAATAGAACACCTAAATCGGAAATTTTATTACATCTATCAATGCTGGTGTTAGAAATTTTATAATCAAAAAGTATTGGAACGCGCTTATGTGTAAAACTAAGAATCTTGCACTTTGATATATTTAGATGTAATTTGTTATAGATACACCAAGATTGGAAAAGGTCAAGTTGAGACTGTAATAATAAGCAGTCATCAATAGAATTTATTTTGAGATATAGTTTCAGATCATCTGCAAATAATTAATGTGGACAGTTAATAGTATCAGAAATGTCATTAATAAAAATAATAAATAGTAGGGGACCAAGAATGGATCCCTGAGGAACTCCTGAACTAATATTTTCAATGTTGCTCAAGAATCCATTAAGATAGACAAACTGCTTGCGATTATGAAGATAACTCTTAAAAAAGTGAATAAGTGAAGAATTAAGACCAATCTTAGATAATTTAGTAAGAAGAATGTTATGATCAATTTATATATGAATTTAGTAGCCAGTAACTTGAAAAGTATATGTTTTTTTTTTGAAAAACTTTATAAAACATTGTTTTCTTATAATTAGTTCTTTTGTCGATATCCGACATTATTTTGAAAAAATAAAATTATACGACTTAGAATCTCCCCGGCCTTTGCGTAGATAGTCCATCAAATCTTTCGATGAAACTTAATCAAAAATTGTCAAAAATAATCAGTTTAAATATTCCAGTTATTAATAGCTTGGTTTATCACAGTGTAAAATTGTAGTGTATTTTTGTATAATTAATTTTCTATAAGTTCTATAACTTTATATTATTTTCCTCCTACATTATAAAAAATCTTTTAGTTTTTCTACTGAACGACGGTCTCGATGAAGACCGAAACGTATGGATAAATAAAGTATTTCAAAACTACTCTAGTTTTTTTTTACTTGGTGTTACTGCTCGATTCTAAATAACTCATCGAATATATATATATATATATATATATATATATATATATATATATATATATATATATATATAGGATAAGGATGCACAGCCCTGGCGCACTACGTCAGGTTGCGCGTCCCCATGCACCGTTAACCTATAGTATAAAACCACAGCGCAGCAATACTCGGCCCTTCACTTGCCTGCCCGAACTCACAGTGGATTCCAGGAAGAGAAGAACACAGTACTTCGATACATCATTGGTGACACCTGACGCGGAATTGCAAAGCTCCCTAAAGAACAGTTTCTCATTGGTCCTGAAGTCAGTACGTCTTCCGGGTACTACCATCAACGTATATTGCGATGTATCCACTAGCACTAATATTCCAAGACCTTTCGTTCCGAATAAGTTAAGAAAACAAATTTTTAACTCACTTCACAACCTAAGCCATCCTGGAAGAAATGCCACAGTGATAATTGGTATCCCAACGATTTGTTTGGCCGCCAGTGAACAAGGACTGTCGAGCCTGGACGAGGGAGTGCATTCCTTGTCAACGCAGCAAAATTCATCGCCACACGGGAGCATCGCTTGGTAAATTTTTGCTCCCTACCAGGCGATTTTCTCACATACATTTAGATCTGATCGGACCCTTTCCAAGCGCACGAGGATTCAAGTATTGCCTATCAGTAGATTCACAAGGTGGCCAGAAGTCATCCCACTTGGAGATATCACAACCGAGTCAGTGGCGCAAGCATTTATAAAGGGATGGATATCTCGTTTTGGCTGCCCCACAGAAGCAACGTGCGATCGCGGAGTCCAGTTAAAATTCCGCCTATTTGACGCCATTGATAAATTTACAGGGTCGAAAATAACTTACACCACAGCTTATAACCCCAGCGTAAACGGCATGGTAGAGCGTTTTCACAGATCCTTTAACACGTTGACTGCCACGCGTGTTTACAACAAAATCCCCGTCAGGCCACCCGTGCCACTGTAAGATGCGTGCTCTGCTACCGCATGTCTGTTTACATTTCTTTCGGTACTCTCACCCCGATATCTATTACGATCCTCATTTATCAGGTTGTTACTCTGCACGAGCAGTTGTAATCTTTGCCGTGTACTGAGTAATACAACTAATATCTCTGCCCAAAATTTTTCAATACTGAAGAGAAAGATGAAAAAGTCAGTGTGCAGTGATTCATATCGCAGTGAAAGGACGACTAGTCACGCTAGTTGCTCAAATTCGGATAGCAGCGATGAGGAAGTGATCAGATTGCCCAAAAGAAGAAAAGTAAATCGTATCATATCATCAGATTCTGATACGGATACGGATAAATGCAATCTTAGTGATAATGAATATTGTGAAGATACTATTGACGAGATGTTACGAGATTTGGTCGTGGAAGAAGAAAGCAACGTTGATGATACTGAGGAAGCTCCAGTTCAACAAAGTGAATGGAGTGAATTTAGTGGTCGGCAAAAATCAAGTTCTTTTCAAGAAACAGGCGGTCTGAATAAGCAATTACCTGACGATATAAATCCGTATGATGTGTTTACGTTGTTTGTCGATGACGAAATCATAAACTTGCTGGTATTAGAAACTAATAGATATGCACAACAAAAACTAAATGAATCGAGGCTGACTCCAGGTTCACGAATGCATAAAAAGAAACCAACAAATCCTGAAAAAATAAAACAATTTTTGGGATTATTGTTGTGGATGGGACTTGTAAAAGTGAGCCCAATAACCAATTATTGGGCCAAAAACGAATTGTGCAATTTCCGGCTACCGCGTCAAATTATGTCATGAAACAGATTTGAACTATTATTGTGCAATTTTCATTTTGTCGATAATATGTCCATTGCCCGTGATGATCGGCTTGGTCAAATACTTCCATTTTTTAACAAATTGGTAGGAAAGTATCAGGAAGCTTACACGCCTGGAGAAGACATTGTTATCGATGAAACGTTAATTCCATGGCGTGGAAGACTCATTTTCAAGCAATACATTCCAAATAAAGCGCACAAGTACGGAATCAAGTTATTCAAATTATGTTCAAGCAAAGGATACACATGGGCAATGAAAATGTATTCTGGTAAATCAGCAGAAGGCATTAAAGAAACCGGATTGGCACACAATGTGTGTCTACAACTGGCAGAGAAACTTTTCTATCAAGAAAAAACATTGTATATTGACAATTTTTATACAAGTTATGAGTTAGCTATATCATGCCTAAGACGCAAGAATCGTGTAGTTGGAACACAGAGACATAACAAGAAATCTATACCAAAAGATGTTCTTAATTGCAAACTAAAAAGACGAGAAATGGTAGCTATAGAGGATGATAACGGGCTTGTGATACTCAAATGGAGAGACACACGTGACGTGAGAATATTATCTACGAAACACGCTCCTATCATGACACAAAGCACGAAAAACATTCATGCTGCTTCTTCAAGCCAGCAGCCATCCGCAAGACTCAAACCTCTGGCCGTCCTCGAATACAATAAGGGTGAATGTGGTATAGATTATTCAGACCAAATGGTTTCCTATGCTTCGACGATGAGGAAAGGAATCAAGTGGTATAGGAAGCTTGGTGTTGAACTTCTACTGGGGACGTCTATTGTAAACGCTTTGGTCGTTTACAAAATTGCGACAAAGAAAACTGTAAATGTTAGACGATTCAGAGAACTGATTTCTGCAAAGTTACTAGGACTGAGTGAAGATTTAACACTGCCTTCTGTTCGACGAAATACGCATTGCATCGCAGTTCGCAGAAATAATTTGGGGAAAAACCTTAGGCGCGCATGCAAGCGGTGTCATGCAAATAAAAGAGAAGAACTGGAACGATCAAAGGCACGAGCAAATCTCCGAAAACCCACTACTTTTTGTCCAAGCTGCCCTGGTCAACCGCAACTTTGCAGTGGATGCTTCAATATTTTACAATGTAAATAATTTTGTTAATAAACGATTTTTAAAAAAATTCAACAGTATTATTATCTCCTGTCATATATTTATCTAAATATGTTCGGAAATCCTTTGGAAGGAGTCACCCGATGTGGCCTGATGAAAACTCTTGCTGTCACCCGAATACGGGTGAGATGGCCTGATGAGAACTTTTGCTGTCACCCGAATACGGGTGACGTGGCATGATGAGAACTTTTGCTGTCACCCGAATACGGGTGACACGGCAGTTAACGTGTTAAATCAACTAGTACGTGCCACAACAATAAGAGCTGGCTGGATGCGTTGCCGCTAGTACTACTCGGACTGCGGTCTGTATGGAAGCAAGACTTGCAAGGTTCTCCAGCTGAAATGGTGTATGGCGAACCTTTTCGGCTTCCAGAAGAATTATTCGAAGACCATCAGAATACACAAGACACACACCACGTTCTCCTAAAACTTCGACAAACGGTCAAATCATTCAAGGCAACGCCCGCTTCGAATCACGGAAATAATTACAGCTTTGTCGACCCGGATTTATCAACGGCTCGACAAATTTTTATCCGGAAAGACACCATAAGGACAGGATTACAACCGACGTACACAGGACCATACGAAGTAGTGGGCCGTTCGGATAAAACTATGACAGTGATTAGAAACGGCGAGGAAACTAAGATATCGATCGATAGAGCAAAACCAGCCTATATATTTATTCCAGATATGGGATATGGTTGCACAGCCCTGGCGCACTACTTCAGGTTGCGCGTCGGGTCATGCACCGTTATCCTATGGTATAAAACCACAGCGCAGCAATACTCGGCCCTTCACTCGCCTGCCCGAACTCACAGCGGATTCAAGGAAGAGAAGAAGACAGTACTTCGCTACATATATATATATATATATATATATATATATATATATATATATGGCGGAATGAACACCATATGAAAGATGTCAGTTGAATGACGCCAATTGACGACAAAGTGATATAGCGGAATCAACACGCATATGGCGGAATGAACACGGCAAAATGACAGATGTCAGTGGAATTACGCCAAGTTGATGACAAAAATTACACAACATACTTTGGGCTACGCTGATGCTAATCTGGCATCTAGGAAGTGAGAGTGGAAGGTTGTTTTTAAAAAATACGATCGTAAATTTAATTATGGCGCTATTTGGCCATATATTATTAATTAATTATTATTTACAAGTGAAACCACAATTATCGAATGTATACTCGTTTATGATGTCAGTTTATTAAAAACTCAATCTAATAAGAAACTCGATTTATCATTATATAATTTTCGAACTACACTTTTACGTCCCGACAAAAAGTTCGATCATTAAAACCCAATCAAATTTACGATCGTATTTTTTAAAAACAACCTTCCACTCTCACTTCCTAGATGCCAGATTAGCATCAGCGTAGCCCAAAGTATGTTGTGTAATTTTTGTCATCAACTTGGCGTAATTCCACTGACATCTGTCATTTTGCCGTGTTCATTCCGCCATATGCGTGTTGATTCCGCTATATCACTTTGTCGTCAATTGGCGTCATTCAACTGACATCTTTCATATGGTGTTCATTCCGCCATATAACTCCCCTTCAAAAGAAAAAAAAGTATCTGGTAGAAATAAATGAATTTGATTATTAAAATTTGAAGGAGACTTTTTTAGGCTTCATCTTTTTTGGAGGGTCAATCGATAACTCCAAGTTATGTGATTTAAATTCTTGAGATGAGCTTGGTTGACTGTTATCTATTTTAACTGTATATGCTGGTTTTAGTCTGTCAACCGATATGTTCTTATCAGTACCATCCATAGAAATTTTGAACACTTTGTCTGAAATTCTTTCTATAATTTCATACGGTCCACTATATGGAGGCTCAAGTGGTTTTCTAATATGATCTGATCTTACAAATACATGAGTGCATGTATTTATGTCCTTAAGCACAAACATATTGGCTTTATTATGATGAGCTGTGGCTGTAGGTTTAATATCCCGCATTATTCTTCTGTGGTAGTCCAGAAATGCTTGTGGATCGGATGACAGTTCTTTAGTTGTGAAAAACTCGCCTGGTAGTCTTAATGTGGTTCCATAAACCATCTCAGCAGGAGATGCTTTAAGGTCTTCTTTGTATGAAGAGCGTAAACCTAGTAAGACTACAGGTAATACTTCGATCCAAGGCTCAGGAGAGCACATTAAAGCTGCTTTCAGAGTTCTATGCCAGCGTTCAACCAGACCATTGGACTGAGGGTGATATGCCGTTGTCCGTATTTTCTTAGCACCTATTGCATCCATTAGTGATTTGAATATAGCTGATTCAAACTGGCATCCTTGGTCGGATGTTATCACACATGGTGTACCAAATCTTGATATCCAGTTTGAAAATAGGGCTTGGACAATCGTGTCTGCAGAAATGTCCTTTAGAGGAACAGCTTCTGGCCACCTTGTAAATCTGTCAATGATTGTTAGGCAATAAGGATATCCATTAATATTAGGTAATTTGATTATGTCAATGTGAATATGCGAAAATCTGTTTTCAGGAATAGGAATATGGATAGGAGTGAGGTGATTATGTTTGTGTATTTTGGATTTTTGGCAAGGAATGCATTGACGTGCCCACATGGTGACGTCTTTACCAATCCCAGGCCACACATACCTTCTTCGCAACTCCCTTGAAGTAATCCTTATGCTTGGGTGTGCATTACCATGTACAATGTCAAAAGCAATTCTGCGAAGACTTTGTGGAAGGTAGGGCTTCACACAATTATCTTGCCTGTTGCAATAAACTGGATACCCCCCTAATGTCAATTTTTGAAGATTAATAGAGGTGTTGCCGTTCAATATAGTTTGCATTTCAACGTCCTTGCTCTGTTCTTGCGAAATTTCCTCTTCGGTTAGCTTTGATGGCATTTGAATGGCATTGATCCTGGACAACGCATCAGCAACAACGTTCTGATCACCCTTCACATATATAATATCAGTGGAAAACTGTGATATGTATTCTAGCTGCCGTCGCTGACGATCTGATGCTTTCTCCAGTTTTTGTTGAAATGCGTGTGTGATTGGCTTGTGGTCTGTCTTGATTATAAAGTGCCTTCCTTCTAGTAGATATTCAAAATACTTTAAAGCCGCAAAGATGGCTAGTAGCTCGCGATCGTAAGTTGAATATCGCTGTTCAGTAGCTGTGAGCTTTCTGGAAAAGAAACCTATAGGGTGCCATGCGCCATTTTCTTCCTGTTCCAGAGTTGCTCCAATGGCTGTTGTAGATGCATCTGTAATTAAATTAATATTTGCTATACTTGAAGGAAAATGAAGAAGAGTTGCATTTGCTAGAGCTTCCTTCAGCTTGCTAAATGCTGATAATGAATTGTCATTCCATTCAATTTTAGTCTTGTCGTTTTTAACTGAGGACTTCACATAGTCATAAAGTGGTGCTTGTATATTTGCTGCCTTGGGTATTGATTTACGATAATAGTTTACCATTCCCAAAAATCTTCTGAGTTCTATAACTGTCGAAGGTTTTGGATAATTAATAATTTTCTCTACTCGGTCTGGTGAAGGAGAATATCCTGCAGCACTCAGTTTGTAACCGAGGAAGTTAACTTCATCTTTTCCAAAGGCGCATTTCTCCAAGTTTATTGTAAGAGAATATTCCTGTAGCCTCTCAAAAACCAATTGAAGATGACGACGGTGCTCATTCATATCAGTCGACATTACCAGGATGTCGTCTATATAAATGAAAACAAAATTGAAATCTTGGAATATGTGATTGATAAACCTCTGGAATGTCTGGGCAGCGTTTTTGAGTCCAAATGGCATACGTAGATACTCGAAGAGTCCCCATGGTGTGATAATTGCAGTCTTTTGTATATCCTCTTCATGCATGGGTACTTGGTGGTAAGCTTTTTCTAAATCTATTGTAGAAAATACTGCTTTCTGATGAAGATTATTGAAAACATCTTGTATTAATGGTAGAGGATACCTGTCGGGCAGCGTGTTTGCGTTTAGCCTCCTGTAGTCTCCACACATTCTGAATGTGCCATTCTTTTTGGGAACCATGTGAATAGGGCTTGCCCATGGACTATTGGAAGGCCTCAAAATGCCCCTATTCAGGAGATCTTGTATCTCGGACCTGGCTGCAACAGCCTTTTCTCCGAAGATCTTCCTGAATCTGGAAGCTAATGGTGGACCTGTTGTGGTTATCCTGTGGGCAAAAAGAGATGATTTATTATTGGTGGTTACCTGTGGCTTTGTTATTGCGATGTATTGTGCCAGTAAATCCTTGAAGGGCTCTGCCGGGTTGACAGTGGAGATGTTAACTTGCTGTGCCTTGAGTACCTTTCCATCAGAGGTAAGGCCTGTGGTCGAATCAATCAATCTTCTACCCTTCAAGTCTATTAATAAATTGTAGTTGCTTAGGAAATCAGCTCCTATTATGGCTGTGGCTACATCGGCAACAACAAACTGCCAGGTAAAGCTTCTGCGTAAAGATAAATCCAGCTCCAGAGTTCTCTTTCCATACGTGGATATTCTGCTAGAGTTTGCTGCAAATAGAACTAACTCTTCCTTAGGATGACCATCGGCAAACTTCTGAGCTGGTAAAATGGATATAACTGATCCTGAATCTATAAGAAATTGGATTGCCGTCTTTCTGTCTGATATATGAAGGCGGAGCTCAGAGCAAACAGAATTTACTTCACCGTCATGGCAAGCTCCACTTAATGACGGTGAAGTAAGTTTTTTTGACTGGTTTAGAGATTTAAGCAGGCAGGGCTCTTCACACTTTGTGGCCTTCTCCCCATATCTGTAATGATAGTAGCAAACCGATCCACATGAAGGTGTCCTGGACCTATGTCGAGAACCACTTCTTGAACTTGACTGATTGAGTTGTTCACTTCTTGATCTTGACTGGTTGAGTTGTGATTCTTGCTGATCATTTCTCTGTCTTTCAGTGTTTAACATTGCCTTTAGTTCCTTGATTTCCTGGACGCATGACATAAGA